CCCCTCCCCTGCTTAGCTCATTGATCCCAGTCATGTGTGGGTTTTTTTTGTTTGTTTGTTTGTTTGTTTGTTTGTTTTTGACTCATTCTAGGTCATCAAGGCTCGGGATTCCGGCTTTTGCTCCTCTCCATACCAAACGTGTCATGCCTGCTCCCTCTCACCACCCAGACCTGTGTGTAACTGGCATCTTCCTGGAAATTAACTCCACAGGCATCTTGTGTGGCCGTGCTGTGGTTTGTTTCCTTCGGATACCAGAACATAGGTTTGGTGGGCTGGAACCTTGTCTGAGATCCTTTCTTCTGTGACCCGAACACCATGGGACACGTCTGGTGCTTGGTGCTCTCTGTGCAGTCGTCAGATCACTCGGTGAATGGATAAACAAGCACCCTTTGAGGGGCTGTGGTGGACTCACCTTGCGAAACTCCGTTTTTAGTGTTGACATCAGCAGTCCATCCGAGTCCCCTGCTCAACTAGCCGGGGGCCATAGTTCTCCACCTGCTGTGCCCATCACTCCATCTGTGTGGCAGCTTCCCTGTGACCAAGAAGCAATCTCTAACACGTCTAAAGCCGTGACTCTTAACCCGTGGGTCATGACCCCTTCACAGGGGTCACCCAAGACTATCAGAAAACACAGATATTTTACATTATGATTCATACTAGTAGCAAAATGAATACTAGTAATGAAGTAGCGATGAAAATAATTTTATGGTTGGGGGGTCACCATAATGTGAGGAACTGTGCCTGTACCAAGGGAATGGCTAAGAGAAAGAAGAGCATTGCTTTTTTTTGGGGGGGGGGGGAAAAACCAAGAACCTAGGAGGACATTCAAAACTTCCTTATGGCTAATGTGGGACTGAGGTTAGAACCTGCTGCCTAGGCTGTGCAAGACACTGAATCTGGTCCCCAGAGCCACTATACAAACATATCAACATCTAATCTTGGTTGAAGAAAAGCTTGATGCAGGAGGACAATTTCATATTCAAACGGAGAACGTGTTGATGAACGTAAGAGCACATTTTGATGCTTTCAGAAATTATGTGTTCTTTTGTCAGGAAGATCTTTAGAGGTTCAGAGATTTCCAGACCACAACTCCAAGGAAGCAGACAGGGAAAGCGTATTTCCTCCCAGTATAGAGGAACGCTGCCCTCACTCTTTGCTTTAGCCTGCATGAGTCCCGTCCTCATGCCTATCTCGAAATGCCGAAGTCAGGGTACATGAAAAGGAAAAGGCTATCAGCTCCTAGTGTGCAGGCTGAGATGCTGGCTCCTGCCATCGTCTCCCTGATCTCATTACACTGTAGCAAATGGAGTCATGGTTGGAGCACGTGTAAGAAGACGAAATCGCCTTCATCCAAGGGGAGGTGCTTAGTCTTACGGCAACTTGATAAGCCGCATTTAGCTGATATTTGTGGGAGGCCTGCCTTTTCTGAGTAGAAATGGAGGAGTGGATGGGGAGCAGGGGAGGTGGGGGAGGGGCTGGGAGGAGAAACTGTGGTCAGGATGTAAAATTAATTGATTAATTAATTAAAAAAGAAAAAATACAGACACAAGTTTTTTTTAAATATTTATTTATTTATTATGTATACAATATTCTGTCTGTGTATGTGCCTGAAGGCCAGAAGAGAGCGCCAGACCTCTTTACAGATGGTTGTGAGCCACCATGTGGTTGCTGGGAATTGAACTCAGGACCTTTGGAAGAGCAGGCAATGCCCTTAACCACTGAGCCATCTCTCCAGCCCCCAGACACAAATTTAAAAGAGAGAGAGAGAGATCACACCGTGAGACAGGAAGCCAGAGGATCAAGGCTTGATCTTTATAGCAGCTGGTTCACACAGGAACTAACTGCTGGTCTCCTAGGAACTGCTAATTTTCTTAAAGAACACCTGTAATGATTTAACCACCTTCCACTTAGCTCCATCGTGTTCAGGTTTCCGTGTGCGCACGTGCGTGTGCATGTGTGTATATGTGTGTGTGCTTCATGTGTACCTGGGAATGTCTGTGTGCACGCGTATAGAGGTCAGGGGTTGACACTGGGTGCCTTCCTCAGTCAGGATCCCTCACTAAACCTGGAGTTTGTACTAGGCAGCCTGTCCAGTGAATCCTGAGAATGTTTGTGTGTCATGGGCGGGGGGGGGGGGGCATCCTCCTGTCTCTACCTCTGTAGCATTCAGATGACAGACACATGCCACTGAGCCCAGGTTTTAAAAATATGAGCTCTGGGAATCTCAATTGAGGTCCTCATGCCTGCAAAGCAAGCATTTGGCAAACAAGATGTCTCCCTAGTCCTCGGTTCCTCCTCTTAAGGCCCCATCATCTCTCTCAGCATCTCACTGGGAAGTCCAGACCTGACGTGAACTCCTGGGGGCACACAAAGCAACAGGCACGGTGGCTATACAGGGCACTGCAGGCAGATGATTCTGCAAACATCATACTGCAGGAACAACAAAAAACCCACTCACTTTTTTCAAATAAAAAATAAAAAACACAAAAGCAAAAACAATTTAAGTTTTGTCTTTGTCGGCAAATGGAGAAAACCAAAAGTATCAGACATGAGAACAAATGAGAGAACCCAAGGATTGCAGCAGATTGAACCCCAGGGAGCTAGCCGGAGCTAGTGAAGATAATTACCGCTAGCAGAGCTAGATCAGAGAACAAAAAGAACTTTAAAAGGACACCTCCCTGCAAAATAAATAGAACAGAAAACTTAGAAGCACGAGGGAAAAAAAAAAACTATTTTGTAGGCAAAATGATGCCAGCAAGAGACTATAGAAGACACAGCCTTGGCACCCCTCTTGCTAAGTTCATATAGCAAGCTTGAGGCTAGGGTTAACAGTCTTAAGGGGAGGCTAGGGAGACGTCTCAGGGGATAAAGAACATACCGTGCAAATGTGAGGGCCCCCGTTCAAATCCTCAGAGCCATTTAGAACAGGGTGGGTATGGTGATCCCAGGGCTCTGAAAATGGAGACAGGCAAGTTCTGAGGCAGGCTGGCTAGCCAGACCGGGCCGAACTGATGAGCTCCGCAGTCAGCCAGAGATGGTGCCTCGAAAGATGACGTGGAGAGCAATCAAGGACCACACCCAGCTTCAATTGTTGGCCTCTACTGGCCATACGTGTGGACACGCCAACACACATGTACATGTGTAGGAAAGGGAGATCTAAAATGATCAAGGAGCCAGGCGGAGTGGTAAAATGTGCAGTCGAGGTTTACTGAGGCAGGAGAATTGAGAGTTGGAGGACAGCCTGGATGAGAGAGTAAGGCATTGTCTCAAAAACTTGGAAAGGAATGAGTTTGAAAGGAAATACGCAAGGAGGTGAAGGGGCCAGTCTAGCTGCTAACAGAGACTGCTGAGAATCGTGGCAAGTCCTGGCTAGGAACTGTGGGAGCAAGGCAAGGCTTTGCCGGGAGAGGAGGCGCGGGAGCACTGAGAATACTGTGTGGCTGGAGTCCTCCATGCACCCTCCTCCTCCTGACTTCCTCCGGAAGCTGTCACTTCTCCCTTGTCATCAGGACAGAGCAGATGCTAGCAGTCCTGCCGGGCCTTAGAAGGCCTTCAGGCCACCGGTGTGCCAGGAAACAGCCAGGGATTTGGTAGTCAAATCAGCTTGAGAAACGCCACGCACAAGTAACCCCTTTGAATTCACAGTATAGCAGTGTCTTAAAGGCTCTGAGAAACCAGGCAGTTAAAGAATCCAGTTCGCCGCTGTCTTCCCAGCAGCCGTGCAGAGAAGCCAGGACCCATAGACCGTGCTGTCAATACCTTCAGTTAGTGTGCTGGGCGGCGGCAGCAGTAAAACTGGCCACGGCACCCGGTCTGCCTGATGGATTGCTAGTGCCCAGTCTTCCTCCCTTCCCCTTGCTTCTGCCTGATCGTTAAATTGCAGAGAATGAGGGGGAGCGACTCCAAGTGGACGTTTCTCCTGACTAGACTCTGCCTATATCCACACAGAGAGCTGCAGTCTGCCTGTGAAAGCGATTCCACGTTGGAGAGCCCTTTGGCAGGAGTCCTGTTCGTTCCCCCAGCACCTCCCATCACAGGGGTGACGTGGGACACACCCAACTCACTGTATTCCGGAAATGCAGCGTGACAGGTTTGACAAGTGGAGACTTTATGATAGTGAGATCCAGTGCCCTGAAGGTTTGGGGTGAAGAGTCCCTCTTACCACAACCGCTTCTTTAGGTCAAGCGAATACTTGTTGCTTGTTTTGGGGGTGCATCCTTCACCTGTCCAAATTTAACCTGCAATCATTTGCAGACCCTTAGTTTGGTAACCGAACTTTTTTTTTTTATCAGAAGGCTTAAAGCTTACATGAATTTCTTCAGTTCTTTGCTTTAATTATCTGATGATATACCTTGCCAATAGGATAAAGTCCAAATTGCGTAGGACTTCCTCATGATAGTCCCTCCTACCACTGACCAGTCAGAGGTGCTTGGGCTATGAACGTTGAGCAAAGCATGCTACTTCTTCAATAGGCCGTGGGTGTCGTTTACCTTTCTATTACCACCACAGGTCTTGGTTTTAGCTTTAGCACGTGATCGGTTAGATCCATTGCTTATAGGCTTTTGGTGGGAGTGACATATACCAATGCCAAGGAGCACCGGAAAGAAAAAACGGCTTGTCAAATGGCCAGGTAGGAAAAAAATGCTTATCTAACGGCCAGGTAGGGAAGGAAATAAAAGTCAGCAAGGTTGGGATTCCAGCCTTCCTTTTAAGGATTTGCTACCAGTAGCTCTTCAGTGTCTACCACACCTCCAAGCACCGAGCTAGAAACCAAGTCTTGAAATGCATGGACCTTTGGAGAACATTCCAGATCCAATCGTCCCACGCTTTCTCCAGGTCTTGCTCTCAACACACTCTGTATATTCTGTTGCTGGCTGCCTCTCTTTCCATTTTCTACCTGCAAGGAGGGACAGCAAGGAACAGAATCCTAAGTCAGAGCTCACCCCTCCCCACAAGGCCTGGGGAACAGTGATGATGATCCAGTCACCGAGTGGACGATACTTTTACTACTGGGGTTTCTGGGTTCCGTGTTGAGACAGGAAGGCACACCCACAGCCAATACCATCTGTCAATCAAGAGCGGTGGGAGGCCAGAGACAGAGTTGGCACAGCCGCCTTCAGTGGTGCTAGACAGGTCTGGGCCCAGAGGATGCCTTGCACAATCTCTTAGGGAAATGAACAAATATAAATTAAAAAAAATGATGCTTTTGCAAACTAACACAGACTAAAAGATGAGGCACATTAGTCCAAAGAGATGGGTTCCAAATAAGCAATCCTGGATGCAAGAGGAATGAGTGGACTGGGGTGGGGGGTGCAGAACAACTAGATGCTCTGAAGCTCTCCTCGTCTCAGGGCAGCACCAGGAGCGGGCTGAAGCTGCCCCGTGCAGTCTCTCTGGAAAGGTAGAAGCTCACAGCCGCTTTCTATGAGCAGGAGCAACAATAGCAGGTGATTTGTGACTGATTGACTACATTCGTCATATCATTTTATTATTTAATGAGAGTCTCTATGGAGGTTTTATTTAGTTATTTATTTTAATTCAGAGCTCACTCCACCCTTGTTATCTCTCCTCAGAAATTCCTGAAGTCAAAGGAAGGAAAGCCCAGTTCCTCGGCCTTGCAATCAACCTCTAGGAATTCTGGGTAAGCAGTAAAGACCAGCATGCAGCAGGGCGTGCAGGAACTGTGGCATGGGTTTTCCTTCTCAGACTTTCCTCATCAGGGAATTAGGACAACAGTGACTTAACAGCAGGGTTTGGTCTCAATAAACCTATTAATGTCACCTGAAAATATGCTCAGCTGACAATCCCCTGCGTGCAGTTAACCTATAAGAGCAACCTCGCCTAGCAACCAACTCACTGTCGAGTCTCCTTTGCCCCCTTCGGGTTGACATGATTGACAGGAGCTCAGGCTTCCTGCCCCACCCAGCTCCTGGGAGAGCCATTCAAATTTAGAGGTATGATGTCTCCTAAACGCGCAATGCTTTTGTACTACCGCAAAAATAAAATACCCGTAAGTCAAATCAGTATGATTCAGAACCCTGCATAGTAATTAATTTACATTAGTAAAAGTTGAAAATTCAGCTCTATACAAAGATGATCATAGAGTTCATAACCAGAGGGGGGCCACAGAGTTTGTTGAGTTCCCCCATCCGCCTGCCCTTTTCACAAAGTGGAGATAGACAGGAAGGTACGCCAGGCTCAAACAACAAAAGACTTGGCGGAGTCCTGCAGCTTTTATCTCTAGTGGGGAGAGAGACAGTTTAAGGTCCTTTTAAACAGCCGCCATTTTCCAGTTTGGCTCCTCAGAAGCAGCACAGCACACCTAAATATGGGGACAGAAATAAGAAAAGCAGCTTAAAGCAATGGGCACAGAGGGAGAGGGGCGTGAGGAGGCCCCCTGAGCTTATTTAGATTAACTCCACACAAATCCTCACAGACAGGAAGCAGCATAAAATATTTACATTCAAATGGATATATTGAGTTGCCCGAGCCTTCTTAAAATGTCCTAATGTATACATGCAGTTACCTATCTTAATTGCTAATCCAATAAACATTATTAACATCTACTGGACTAAACCAATAGGGATTAGAGTAAAAGTGAGGATATAAATATTCAGAACGAGAAGAGCAAACATTCACTGAGGGGTATGCTTGATATGCTCGGCAGGTCTTAGCTTGTTCACCCAGAATGCTAAGTATAGTTCTTTTTCCACTTTCTAGGTGAGGAAACCGAGGTTTAGGGTAGTGAAGGAACTTGGCCATGGTGGCAGAGCTGGTAGGTGGCAGAGTTCAGAGTGACTCAGGTTAGTGGGGCCCCTAATTATTAGCTTCACGAGGTTTATGTGAGACCTCCACCCTTAGAACTTGGAATTGAATGGACGAAACTCTCCTGAACCAACGTCATTTACATGGGGTCAAGACTGTCAGTCAGAGAAGGAAAAATGAGATGGGGACTTCAAATGGAAGAAAGAAAAGGAAGAATTCCCAAGGAAGGAACTCACTGGCAGGTGTTTAAGAGCGAGGGAAGAGGCTGGCAGGTGAGAGAGGCGCAGGGAAGTGCGCCTTAGAGATGGGGCTGGACTTAGCAGACACGTCCAGAGGGTAGAGGCGTGTCTTCGGTCCAGGTTAAGAGAGACAGTTGTCTTGATACAATGAGGGTGGAACGAGATCTGAGGATTACAAGGGGCAGGTTGCTGGTGGCCATTTGAGCTCCTCTTCACAGGAATAGGGAGCCAGCTGGATGTGACTAGCCTTTGGGTAATGGTGACAGGGCTGTGAAGAGCCAAGGATGCTTCAGAAAACAGCGAGTACCAAGATATCTTCCTGTCCCATAACCAGGAGTTTTGGTTACTCTGCAATTTGGAGATCAGCGGTGGATCACAGCCAGGTCTTTAAGAAAGGCGGGGCATGGCTCCCAAAGGTGGCGACCCTCCAATACTCTGCCTAGTGAGTGTGCCTTTGGACAGCTGTGTGCTTGTTTAGGTAAGTCATAATCTTCATGCTAAGGACCAGGAACCAGGCTAAACCACAGCCACCAGCCAGCTGTGTGACTTCCGTGCCTCTGGTAATGGCTCCTCTCCTTTTCTTCTTTGCAGCCTGGGTTTTAGCTCTGGTCGCCAAATACTCTGTAACATCCTGCTTTTTGTCCTCTGCCCCTGGGGGGTTGTCCAGCTCCATGCCTCCTACTTTGGAAGAGCAGCGCCCCCTTGTGATCATGACCGCTCACCTTGGACTCTCTCAGAGAGCTGAACAAAGGGAAGAAGAGGAGCTCTAACCCCAAGATCTCGAGTCAGAAGCAACCTCAGAGCCTTTAGCTCTCCTGCGTCTCTTTTAGTTACTAAAGTTTAAGACCCACTGCCCTGAGAAGGAAGACCCTGGTGTTCTTTCAGACTTCCATCTTTTCGCCACCTCTATGAAACCTTTTCCTGAGGGAGCAAAGGGGCCCACCCAGAAGAAGGCCCAGTGACATCAGCGGACAGGACCCACTTTTTCTGTTCACATGTCTAATGTGTTTCCTTCAGCAAGGCTCAGTCTCTGAGGACAGAAATGTCCCTGTTCCCAGATCCCAGGGCCCCTTAAGAGAAGCTGTGAAGTAGATGAAGTGTTGTTAGGGGTTCCCCTTTCCTCCCTCTCTTTCCTTTCCTCCACCTTCCTCTACTGTCCCCCCCTTGACCTTGAACACAAAGGCAGGGTTTAAAAGGTGGTTAATGTTTAAAGGGAGAGTCAGGCTAGGCGGGTTGCTCAACTGACAAACAAATCCACCTGCTTTGTTGCTTCCTAAGCTAACAGGCAGCCGCCAGAAGATGGTCACTCACCCGGCAGTGGCTCACACCGGCTGGCAGGCCACCTACAGGGCAATTGCACAGTGTGCTGCAATAACAGGAGGCTATAAATAGACTTTTCCAAGAAGCTGCATGCTGGGGTTGGATGAGCCTGCTGGGGAGTCCTGATTTGTTGCCCTTCAAACAAGTAGGGAAACACTTCTAAATGGGCTCTGTAGAATGGAAGCCCAGGGTAAAGCCGTCTGCTTTTCCTTCGGAGTTCAGCTTCCTTCCCGGTTCATAATGACCTTTGAGGGTCTAGAGTAATAATAGAGACAATAACAGAAATTCCTCGGTAGGTTTCATTTCCCCTCATTCCTATTGCCCATATCAGCAGTTCTTCGTCCCTCATTCCTATTCTCCCATACTAACAATTCCTTAGTTCATCTTCATTTCCCCTTATTCCTAATGCCCATACTTGTCTAGTCTCTTTATGCCTTCACCATGACCTTCATTGGTGCTCCAGTCAGGATTAATATCATTATCTCCTTGTCTATAAGACTGATTCTCTTACCCCATTGTTCGTCCATGTTTGTCCTGTGTGAACTCTTTGAATGCATCTCCTTTCATTATTATTATTATTATGGTCTACCATTTTTAACACACACCCATTGTTTGTTGATTAAATATACATGCCTCTATGAGTTTGTGCAAAACACAAGGAAAGCTTACTTTCATGGAGAATTTGACAACGAAGTGTGAAGGGGAGTTATGTTTTCTGCCTGTCCCCCACTAGATCATTTTAAAGGCCCTGGAGTGGCTATCACTGAGCATAGCCCCCAGTCATTCTGCTGGGCTCTTACACCCTCCTGAGATCTGGTTCCAAGTTACTCATGGTCCTAGTTAAGGCTGTTATTGCTGTGAAGAGACACCATAACCATGACAACTTTGATGTTTTATATTGGGGTGGCTCGCTCACAGTTTCAGAGGTTCAGTCTCTTATCATTGTAGATGGAGCACGGTGCTGTGCAGGCAGACAGTAGCTGAGAGTCCTACATCTTGCAGCAAACAGGAAGTTGACTGAGACACTGGGTGGTATCCTGAGCATAGGAAACCTCAAAGCCCACCCCCACAGTGACACACTTCCTCCAACAAGGCCATACCCACTCCAACAAAGCCACACCTCCTAAGAGTGCTGCTCCCTGTGAGGTTGTGGGGGCCAATTACATTCAAACCATTACAGTCATTCACCCATCTATTAATTCAACATTTCCAAGAGGCTCCTGTGTTCAGGCCCTAGGCTAGGCTTGGGGGCAAACAACAAGGAGGCCCAGCCTCTATTGATTGGGAGTTCAGTCTAGAGAAACACATAAAATAACTCCTGCTGAGTTTATATGTTTCATTACAGAAGCTTGTGCACATAGAAGAGAGAACTAACTGCTTGTGAGAGCCAGGAGAGGCCTCACTGGAGACTGTTTGTACTGCACGTTGAAAGAAGAGTAGGAATTTATGATGTCAGGAAGCGGAGAAAGGGCCTTCTAGCACAGGAAGTGCAAATGCACAAAGGTGAGGAGGAGAAAGAGAAAGGAAGAGGGGACCACATATTGGGAAGGTACCAGCAGGCTACTAGGGCAGGCGGGACATGTAATATGGTGACCCAGACTCAGACTGGAAAGAAAAGCTGAGACCGGACCCCAGAGGACCTCATCTACGGTGTCTCTTAATTCAGCTTTCATCCCGAAGTTAGTGTGCACCATGGATTTTTAGGACTCTGCTCTTTCCTAAGGGGCTGTTAACCTGTGTCTCCATAGTTCCAGGGAAGGAGCCGCTGCCATTGATTTTCTCTCCTTGTGCTTTTATTAGGAAATTGATGTCTGTGCAGTATTCCCAAAGAACACACTTATCTTGGAGACTCATTAACCCATCTTGTGCGCATTGGTTGCCAGGCACTGCAGTGGCTGGGTATTCATGGCTGCGGGAGTCCTTCTCCTGAGGTGCAGGTGAGTCTGCCTCTTTGGGCTGGGGGACTTCTGGTTGTTTTGCCTTGGAGAGGCACTGGATACCTTAAGCCATCTAGATGTCCCCCTTGTGAGCAGGGTCAGGCATTGACAACATCCTTCCTCGCGCTGGAGGTGCGGCCTGTGCTGGAACCCCAGGGCTTTCCTCTGCTGTGCTCAGCACGATGCTGAAACAGCGACCCTCAACTCTAGGTCTTATCCTTGAATGCTAAGATGAAATAAAGCAAATGACACCACGATCCAGAGGGACCATGCATGGAAAGAGAAATGGCAGCCCTTGTCATCGGGGCTGGGAATGATTGTCGTAGAGGATGAAATGAGGAGACAAATGAGGCTCTAGAAGCTTGACACTCTGGGCATGAGGAGGCTGTAATAGAAAATGAACAGGACTCAATGTCCTAGGCTCAGCCCTCTTCCTGGCTCCCATAATCCTCTCTGTCAAAAGAAGACAGGAGCTCATTTGCTGCTTTAGAACCTTGATCCACCTAGATGCATTGCTGCGTTGCATTTCAGTGCTTCTCAACCAAGGCGTGAGTTATCCAGTTGCCACTGTCTCGTGTGTGTTTGTGTGTGTGTGTGTGTGTGTGTGTGTGTGTGTGTGTAACATGGGGCTGCTTTCATCTAGTCCAGACGAGAGTTACTGATCTACCCGTTCTCTTTGGAAATACTCTGGAAGAGAATGAAATAAGCACGCCTTGTTATTTTCCATACTCCTCTAGAGATTTATTCTGTGGCTTTTTTGATATCTCAAAACAAGGAATGAGGTGAGGAAGAGAAAGAGGCATACACAGCGAAGCAGGGACCTGATTAGTCACAGGAGACAGAGGGAACCATTTCCTACTGGCCTTGATGTATGTTAGAGTTCTATGGTGGCACAGAACTTATGGAATTTATTTATATTACAAACGGTTGCTATTGGGTTGCCTTAGAGACCGTGGGCTTAGTTGTCCAACTACGGCTGTCTGCAAACGAGAAAGGCTGAAAACCTCCACTCAGTCCATGAAGATGGGTGCCTCGCCAAGTTCTCCTGGGGACATGTCTGTGGGTACATTTGGATTGCTGATTGATGTACAAAATGTACAAAGGTCCCACCACACACAGGTAGGTAAACCTGCCTATTTAAGAAAGGTAGCCAGATGTGAGTCAAGGAACAAGTTAGCAGGCAGTATTCTTCCACAAGTTTTGATTCAGCTCTTGCTTCAGCACCTACCTTGACTTCCCTCAGGGATGGAGCGTGATCTGGAGTATAAGCTGAAATCAACCCTTTCCTCCCTGTGTCGATTTGGTGGTGGTATTTACCAAGCAACAGAAAGCAGACTAGAAGAGCCCATTGAGAGTGTCATCTGTATGAGGACTCAGTGAGCCTCTTAGGAATGAAGACTTCCAGGTTTGGTTAGAGATGCTCTGGTCTATGTGGTGGGGTACTTAGAAACCAACAACCGAGTCTTGTTTCCTGGGACAAAATGGCTGTCATAGTTTGGGCATGAAGTGCGTCCCCTATGGCTCAGGAGTCGAAGGCTTGGCTGCCAGTTGGAAGACCCAGTCACTGGGATTGTGAGGTCTCTGACCTCTTCAGAGGACTAATCCATTGATGGATTTGTAATTTGATGATGTGTGACGGGAGGTAGGATCTACTTGGAGTGAGTGCCTCACTGAGAGAAGTCGCCCTAAGAAGGTACGCCTCCTTCCTGTTGCTTTCCTGGTGTTCCCTGCTTCCTGGCTGCCAGCAGGCCAGTGGCTCTACTCTGTCCTCTCTGCAGGATACTGGGCTTCACCACATGCCCCAATAACCATGGACTGCAACCTCTGAAGATGTAAATCCAAACCAAGTTCTTTCTCCTTTTCAGTTGTTTCTGTCTGGTATTTGACACAGAGAGGAAAACCTCCTACAAAAGCACATGAGCTAGGATTCAAATAATTTCACTTGTATTGGCCAAAAATCAGAAACTCTCCAGAATGCATACATTATGGCTCTATATACTTCATATATTATTTATTTAGATTCAGTATGTTTGTTTATTAGTTCCTTCACCCTAACTTTGACTCCCACCTGTTGCTTATATTTAGCCAGACCTGGGAGACTACGGCCTACGTGTTAAGTCCAGCCTATGGGCTTGTGAGCCATGACCGTGGCAATGATGGTCAATGTTTTCAAGGCGCATACAGCAACATCATCAACAACAACAACAACATCAACAACAACATCATCAACATCAACAACAACATCATCAACAACAAAACATAAAGAAGAACATTTAGCAGAGTCCTGATATGGCTCCCAAAGTCTACAGCGTTCACTCTTTGGCCCTTGGGATAAACGTTTGCCAACTGCTGCCCTGGAGATGTCCTGACTGCCCTGTGAAAAGATTGGCGGCTGTTGCTCACTTCCCTCTTACAGCCGTCTTGGGAGGCGGGGCAGCGCCTATCATGCCCATATCCAGTGAGGCAACAGAAGATCAGAACAGTTACCTAACTGCTCCGAGGTCACGTTCACGCCGGTGAAGGTAGAAAGGGGTCAGGGGCTCCTAGTTGGACCTCTTATCGCTAGATGGCAGAGGGAGTGACTGGCCAAAGTGACTGAGCCAGCTCTCCCGTAGGAGGCAGCAGTGGCTGAACCACATCCAAACCGATTGGAGGGCATTGGGTCTCTCCACCCTTCCTTAGCAAGCAGCTCATTGGGAAACGGAGAGCATGAAGAATATTTGGAAATGCTAAAAATGTTTAACTAGCCTTATTATAGACTTGGGCAAGCTGGGCAACAGAAGTTCACATTGCCCAGCAGACACGGTGTCTCAACTCCCCAGCGTGACCTTACCTCCAGGGTGGCCCCGAAAGCCGTGAAGCGGACTTCAAACAAATGGCCTTCATGGCGCCCCCATTCCTCTGTGCTCTCATCCTGTTCCCTCTCCTCCACGCAGAAGTTGGATGCAGACGGCAGCTTGAGGGAATGAATGCTCTCATTGTTCACCAGTGAGCCTGTCAGTCGCTTCCCCACGGCAGCCCCTGAGCAGCCGGTGTGGGGCACTCTGTCCTCAACATAAACAGCCAGCCAGGCTGAGTAGCGGCTTGTTTTCCTCACCAAGCAGGCAAGGTCTGACAGATGCTGGGGCCGGCCCCCACCGCTGCCCCATGGCTGAACAGGGGTTTTGTATCAGTTAATGTGACCCAGCTCCTGCCTAATGTCCTTGAATGCTACTGAGGAGAGTCCTAAAATCAAGATGTGTTCAGGATGGGTTCTGGGTCACCTTTAAGAAGGAGGGATGGGAGATGCAAAGACTAGGCTGCTTGTCTGTCTGTCGCAGACAGTTTAAGAAGCTCTAATACAAAATCAGGACTCTGAACAAGGTGACTATAGACTCTTCAAGGAAGCTAAAATTCTAAGTTCTCTAATCTCTTCCTTGACGGTCTGCTGAAACAGAATGGACTTCTATCCAGATAGGCTTATTCAGCAGATTGTCAACTGAGTCCTTCTCATGTACAAACAAGAGCCTTTCTAGGGAGGGACAAAGGAGGAAGCCAGGTGAGAGGCAGTCTCCAGGTTGAGGGGTGTCTGCTGAGTCAAGGAAATCCCAGAGTTCTGGGGCGAGCATCTGTTAGCAATGCACAGAGAGTCTAGCAATGCAGACAGAGGACACAGCCCAGGATGGCCTGGCTCCTGCTGGAAGCTTCTGCTCTCGCTCTAGGACTTCCTCAGCCTTGCTCTTTCTACAGTCACTCAGTCACTTAAAGGCATGTGTTTCCTTCCTTTCTCCCTCCTTCCCTTCTTTCTTTCTTCCTACCTTATGGCCCCTTCCTTTATTTTTTTTTTTTTTCCTTCAGAGACGCTCTCTTGCATCCCAAGCTGACCTCAAGCTCAATACACAGCCAAGGATAGCTGTGAACTTCTGGTGCTTGTGACTCCAGCCACCCCCCTACACCCTACCCCTGTCGAGCACTGGGGTTACAGGTATGTGCCGCCATCCCCAGTTTATGTGATTGGGAGATGAAACCCACATACCCAGCCTGTCCTCTGTGCCATCCGTCTCCATACTGTGTGTGGCCTTCCCTCTTTTTCCCGGCCCAAGAGTACCTTTGCACACTCCTGTTCACAACCTACAGGTCCTACCCGAAGAGCTTCAGCTCCCTTTGTAGGACGTGTCCCTGCCTTGTGCTTTTTGCTGTCCCCTTTCTTCTCTTTGAATCTAATTTCTTGGAGACTTGTCTTCTTTCTGTGAGAGCTCTGGGACCCTGAGCCACTGTCTGATTCATTGGCAGCACCAGCGGTACCCTAGCCGGCTGGCTAGCATGACATAGTAGGGGCCACTTTATGCCCCCCCCCTCCTATGATGCTTCTAGGCAGGTGGTAAGAAAACCATGAAAATGCTAGGCAAGCTGACAGCTAGGGATAGAGCCACTCTGAGTTGAAGAGATCTTTTTCAGGTCATTTTTTTTTTTAAGCAATTCAGGACACCAGGTTGCATCAGACACCGAAATTTCCTAACTCCTTAGCAATCTGCCCATCCAAGGTTTTTGCCAATGCAAACACTCCCATTGATGAGAGAGAGAGGAAGGCGTCTCTTGCCTTCAGAGTTACCTACCTATAAAGATCAGTGAGGCCCGATACAGACAATTCTCACGGAGCAGCTCACCACTTTCGCCCTGAAATCACATTTTCCCATCTTGATCATGTTCTTTGTAGGTGTTTATTTTTCTTGCCAGGAGAGACAGCCCGCTGTGCCTGCTCATTCGGCAAGTCGCTGCCAACTTAAACCCAGCAAATAGCAACAAAAAGCGGCTTTAATGAGATTCTAAAGTTCAGCTGTGAAAATTGAAAGTTGCCCAATATCAAACCACCCAACCACCTGAGAGTATTACTCCGAAATGTCCTTGTCACTCACAGCGATGCTATTTGGGACCAGGCAGTTTACAGTAATGGGTGTAAGAGGCAGGGGTGTGAGATACAAGCTGGTTACCCTGGGACAGCTTTGGAAGAGATGAACACAGGATGTCTGCGAACAATGCGGTATAGCACCTGGGAAGAAGCAGATATTAGCGTCCCCTGTCGCATCTCCCCTTCTCGCAGACCTCAGCATTCCTCAGTGTGTACTTGGATTCTGGCTGACTCACGTCTCCAAACAATTGGACACACCCTTCTCACACTGAAAGAAAGCCATGATAACAGTATAGTCAAGAATTGTGGTGAGGCCAATTCTATAGACCTGGGGTCTGTTGTGTATATTAGCATATAACAAAGTATATATTAATTTCTTATTGTTTCACTCAGTGACTTTAGTTTCTGCCTGTCCTGTAAGTAGGAAAGTGAGTATCTCCTTCTTGATGGCTGCCATTTCTTGTTCAAATAATATTCCTGTATCTCAGGAGTGGCCAGTCCAAAGACGTCAAAGAGAAAGTATAGGAGTAATTGAAATTTCCCATAGTCATCCAAGGTCACTGTATGTCAGGGTCACAGGGCACTGTAGTCAAAATTTTGTATGATACAGTACCAGAATACCCGTTCCCTCGGTGGCAATGCCCCGGTCAAGCAGATTGCTTTCCTAAAGTAGTCATGCAGCCTCTGCTATTAGTCCTACGACATCCAGAAGAAAGTCTTCAGCCCAGTTCAGAGACTCTCATGTCAAGGGTTAAAAGTCACCACCCCACCTAGCACAAGGGCAACAGAAATGAGTGAAATGGAATAGAGCTAAGAAATATGACAAGACTGGGTCATGGTGGTTCATGACCTTAATCCCAGCACTTAGGAGGCAGAGGCAGGTGGATCTCTGTGAGTTCAAGGCCAGAGCTAGTTCTAGGACAGCCAAGGCTACACAAAGAAATCCGGTCTCAAAAAAAAAAAAAAAAAAAACAAGAAAAAAAGAGAAAACTTGACATGTAGGCTTTGCTTTTTATTGACTGCCCATGCAGGAAAGTTAGAGGCATATACATGCATTATTGATTATCTTTGACACAAGGAATACAGAATGAACAAAAGGTTTTATAATTCAGTTCTTTTCTAATAGGAGCCTGGAAAGCTAAGGCCCTTCCCTCTGTGTTGGATGTCAGTGTCTCCTCTTCGGGTGACAGATCGCTTCACCTTGAGACCTCCATTGCTTCAACATTGTCGCGGTCCAGTTTCCATATTATTTTGCCTATCTTCAATAATGTCAATTGATATTTCTCCCTCTGTCCCATCAGGATTGAGTGATAAAGGTGAATTCATAAGCTCTATCCCCTCCTCATTGTGTTTGAAATGTGCTTGTTGCTGTGCACTTCTCAAATGGACAATTTTAAGAATGTCATTCAAGCTATTACTTTTTCATCTCCGAGAGCTCATTCCAGCATAGTGAGGTGACCCCGACTGCTCCCTACAAAATGAGTTTCTTAGAGGTAATTTCTTTAGAAGGAGTAATTGAATCCTACATGTCTTATCAGTATCCTCCAAAAATAGATATATTCCAAAGTTTATTGTAGATGGTCTAGTTTTGGAAGAATAGATATGAAGATTTTTGTGTTAGAGCATCTGAGCAAGTCAATCTCAATGATTCAAAGCACCCTCTCCAGCTCTAAACCTTCAACAGATATACCCCAAAGACCATAAAACACAGTAGAAGAGGGCTGTGTGCTTCCGTGGGCTATGCCAACCACAGAACCATCGGCAGTGCATGCAGAACAGCTCATCCAGGGCTCTGTGTGAGCTCCTATACCCTTGGCATTTTCTAGCCCTAACCTTTTAGCACTAAGCCATTCCGAGTGAATAATAGAATGATGTAGTGGGCTTACGGCTTATGTTCTTATAAATATTTCCTTATTAAGTTTCTTAACAAGTCTGACATCAGTGCTGGGTAGGTCATAGGTCATCACGGTCTCTAACTGTGCTAAGGTTGACCCATCTGTGACCAAGTTAGCAAGACCCTTTTGGTACCATAAGGGTCCAATACTGTGTTTACCTTAATGGTCTTTTAACCTGAATCCCAATCAATTCCATGGATAAATAAGTACTTAGCTCTTCAGCTGGGGCCCGGGGCACTGGAGATTACTTACACTTTGTCCACAGCTTGTGTTGTAGATGTTTAGTGATGCAGTCAGCACACCGAGTGACAAGGTTTCTGATTCTTTCCACTTGGGATGGTGAGCTTCAAGTAAAACCAAGTCTCCATGAAGGATGGCAGTTAGAATTCAGAATAGATCCCCAGAATCATTTGCTGATTGTGGGGTCACTCAGGTGGACTGGATTCCTGGAAGAACCACAGAACGACTTCACAATCTGTCCTGGGCACATTCCTGTTTCCATGCCAAGATAAACAGTCACTAGAGGAGACTATAGTTGTATGTAAATCTCAACCAATCAGAATAAACATGATTACACTGCTTATTTACACAAAACTTACTTGATTGTCTTATGCTTACCCTGGACATATAGTGCCCACAGAAGCCAGAAGAAGACATTGGGGGTTCCTAGAACTGGACTTGCGGGTGATGTTAACTGCTGGACGTGGGTATTGGGAATGGAACCCAGGTCCTCTAAGAGCTGCAAGAGCTCTTACATGCTGAGCCATCTCTCCAGCCCCATATTTTTTGCCTTATATTGTTTCCTGAGCAAATTTTTTATGAGCGGATATAGTATCTTCTCATCTTTGCCTCTGAGCCCCCTTTCCTTTTGAGACACACTCTCCACCTATAGCCCAGGTTGGCCTCAAACTTGCCATTCTCTAGCTTCTATCCATGTAGGATTGTCCCTATGCCATGCCATCCTGACCTCAATGGATCCTTTTCTATAATTTCATCATCTCTTAGTGGTCTTGATGCCTGAGAATCCCCCTCCCCTTTGAGTGTAGCGGCACTGAACTACAGTGTTACTGTGTTTACATTCTAAAATAAAAAGCCTTTAAGAACACCTGCCTTCTTTTCATTTGGTATTTTTCATTGTGTATATTTTCCAAGCTGGTTTTACTGTATAACATATTCTCTGGACTCCAAATCTGAGCCTTCTTGGAATCGTTTTCTATTCAGAAGAATGATGCATAGGAATGCAGTAGCTAGTATGTAACAGTAACTAAACAGCTTAACTGTTTTCTATCTTAAGCTCTGGGTTTCTCGGCAAATTACGGCTAAGCACTAGCTAATATCTAAGGCTCTACCAATCAATCCTTTTATTTCAAAATGTTAATAGCTTAAGTCCTAAGGTACCCTTACATCCAGGTCCCTCAACAATCCTAGAGGCCAGCTGCCTGGAAGAGGTGCTTTCTGGAAAGATGGGCAGCCTAACAAAGCAGCAGAGTTGTCAATGTGATTGCACTGGTTAGTTCTGCCACCATAGCATACATTAGTCACCTAGGCAAGAGGGAACCTCGACGGGGGTGTGCCTCCATCAGACTGGCTATGGGCACATCTGAGGGTCACTTTCTTGATTAATGTGGGAGGGGCCATCTCATTTGTGGGCAGTGCTACCTCTGGGCCTGTGGCTTGGGTTGTGTAGGAAAGCTAAGGAGAACAAAGAAGTAGGCGGTCTTCCTCCATGGCTCTTCCCTCTGCTCCTGCTTGAGTTTCTGCTCTAAGTTCTTTCAGTGATGAGCTGTGATCAGGATATGTAAGCCAAGTAAACCCATCCCTCCCCAAGTTGGTTTTTGGTTGTGGTATTTATCACAGCACAGAAAGCAAATTAGGACAGTGATACTCTACCAAGCCCATCACTCCTTCTGTCATTACAGAGATGTTGTAAAGGGCAGAGGAAAACCAGGAAAAAGGGGGGGAAGAGAGCTAACCAGTTCACTTCTAGCAAGCCAAGAGTGTGCTGGCCTTTATGGGCACAGTCTCATTTCATCCTTTCTGAGAGAGGTAATATAATTCTCACTCTCTACACATAAGATGAAAGAGTCAGAGGTGTGAAATAATCTGACCAAAGAGTTGCAGAGAGTATTTGGGATGCGAGAAGATTAGTTTGGCACAAAGTCCACATTGTTCTCACTCTCGGCTGCCTGATTCTTGGTTCCAGTATAGAAGCTTCCAGACAGAGAGCTGTCTTGGAAGTGTTATCTCCCGGTTTTTCTGTGTTGACTGAGCATGCCTAGTCCCTCAATGCTCTTAAGGCCTGGAGGCATCAATCAAGCTCCAGGAAAGAACTTGTTCTGGTGTTCTGGAATATGACTGGTATGACTAGAGTTTACAATTAGCTATTGCATATTCTATGAACAACCAGAGGAGAGCCTAAAGCTATAAGCCTGAAGAAATGGTAAGAAGCATTGTGGAGATGATCAATGCTTGACGTACTTGCCATGGGAGCAGAAGGAGCCGAGCTTGGAACCCCAACACTCATGCAAAAGCTGGACATAGCAGCATGTGTTCGTGACTCCAGCACTGTGACATGAGGAGTCAGAGACAAGGGCACCTCTGGATTTCACTGGCCAGTCCATCTAGATAAAGCCGATGGGCCCAGGTTCAGGAAGACACTTACATAGATGCACATGTGTTACCCCACACATATCACAGAGAGAGAGAGAGAGAGAGAGAGAGGGAGAGGGAGAGGGAGAGGGAGAGGGAGAGGGAAAGAGATGATGATGATGATGATGGTGATGATGATGGTGGTGATGATGATGAAGGTGATGGTGATAAGAAATGATGATTGCCCTGATTCAGTCAGTGCACAATGTGTTCATTAATACTGGGTTATCACTACTGGGTTGTATTGATCAATACTGATCAATATGACTCCGAAGCATACAGATATGCACAAAATTCGGTGTTAAATGAGGGAAGTATAAGTCTACCTTAATTCCTTCCATAAACACCGAGGTAATATTCAGTGGGTGTCACAAGTGTGGGCTTCTCCGTCCCATTCTTTTAGTCTTCAGATACCACGCAACCTACTTGGTTGGGCGTGTTGAGTTAAGAGGCCTATTTTGGTGAAAGAAATGAGGGGAAGCTGTCCAGGAAGCTCTCAAATATTTACAGGGATCTAGACATTTGAATAAAGCAATTTTAAAAATAAATTAACTTATTAAAAAAAAACATGGATTTTTTTTTTCCTAGGAGTTGATAGCAAGGGCCCCAAACTCAGGGAGGAAAAGGGAAAATGTAGGGCCCATCCACTGGTCGTTCCTTCCTCAGGCAACGGGACTTTCCCCCCTGCAACCTGCCCCTGCGTCCCCACCTCTGACCCTGGACTGTGCTGGCATAATTTGCTAACCCAGAAGCTCATTTCCGCTCAGTTACCCTCTTCCACAGACACTGGGGCTGCTCTTCTACAGTCTCCTCTGGCTACTTGGCTAGGCGTTAAATCCACGTTTGTATTTTACTGAGGTCTCTAGAGTGAGAGAGGCAAACCACAGTCATGGGTATTATATTTCTCTCCCAATTATTGAATAGTTTAGGTTTATTATCAAATAATCAAGAGAAAATATCCAAAGGAAAGAAAAACTCCATGGAATGTTTTCGCTCAGAGGGAATCGCGGCTAAGATGCTGACGAAAACCCCTCCTGGATCTACCATCTCCCCCTGCAGGGTGCAGCTCCCAGGGGCCTCACACTTTGCTTTTGTGTCCTTGGCCATTGGGCAGAGGTAGGATGATGGGACGAATGTCACTCAGCCCTACTGCGGCCTCAGCAGGGTTACTGGGAAGAAGGCATTCAAGGTGACCATTGGGCAGCCCTGGCCCCACCAGCTCTCCCTGCCCTGTTTCTAACTTTCAGGGTAACCTGCTGCAGAATGGCACCCAACAGGGCAGCGCCCTCTGGAGCAACTTCTCGGGATCAGACGATGGTCATATGGGAAATTGGATTTATTGGGTTGTGAAATTTGCTTTCCATATTCCAAATTTCCAGCCTCCTGACAATTCCTGTGATTTGAAAACATTACTTTTTTAGCCTGTTTCCTGTGAACAGACCCTCTGGCTGAGACTGCCCTAGGGTAAAGAGTAAAGAGCAATGGTCAGAGCTCATCAAGATAAACAAAACTGGGGAAAGGGGCTCCCTGGAACAGCTTTCCTCCAATCCCTCTTACCTTGAGAGTGCATGCTTTCTTTTTCCTGTTTGGCTGAGGTTTCATGTTTTGCCATGAATAATTAGAAAAGAAACAAGGCTGGCTTTTTCCTGACTGATTGCTGAACCAGTTAGGGTGACCAGAGACTTGCTTTCTGTGCGTGGGGTCACGTAGAGTCAGAGACTGAGAATCCTCCAGGGGCTTGTAGCTGACAGACCCAGTTTCTCTGTCCATGTGAGTGGCCTGTGGACAGAGTCAAATGACTCCATGCTTCTCTAGGCCATCAGTCACCTCTTCAACTCTGGGTCTTGATTGTTGTTTGCACCAAACTCTTGGCAGAAGAAAGGCTGAGGGTGGAGGTGGGGGACTGGGAAGACCATGGGCTGTCAGTCACAAACAGATTTAAGGGAAGAAATGCCATCATGTTGCCTTATTGGGGAAGACATTGAGTGTAAGATGTCTGTATAAACCCTGCTGCTAAAATACTGTTCTTTGGGCTGGGATTAAGAAGACAGAATGGTTCTGACTGAGGAAGACAGTGGGGGAAGAGGAGCTCAGAAGCCAGGCTTCGAGTTCTTACAAGACTGCTGGCTGGTACAAGAGTGTAGACAAAATGTGTTCACTTTTCTTGGATATATGGATAATTGATAAATTCTTAGGCACTTTGATGAAACCCACTTTTTTGCTATCTGAGTTATGGAACTCATAGATTTGTGCTGTTTTATGTTTGTTTGGGACTCAAATGTCTAAATAAGAAATGGAGCTTCCATGAGTTTGTTCTCCTGGCCAAGAGTCTGCAGCTGTAGTTTTCCTGCGCTGTTTTTCAATACATCAGATGATGGAACAGAGAAATAAAAAATGGAGATGGAAACTCCCAAAGCAAAAATTGTTCTGCCAGCTTCCCATACCCGGGGAACGAATGAATATAAAACAAGGCTGCTTGTGCAGACAGCCACCCTTCTAGACCGAGCACCATTCTTCATTCTGTGAAAACATCTTAGGACCTGTCTTAGCCGCCTACTGCTGAGACAAAACACCTGAGGAAGTCAGTGTAGAAAGAAGAAAGGGTTACTTTATTCAAAGTTTTAGAGGTTTCAGTTCATGATTTCTTGGTCTTGCCGCTTTGGACCAGGATGGTCATCATGGCAGAAGAAGCCCCATCACCTCATGTCAGACAGAAAGCCCAAGATGGGAAGCAGCTTGGATCTCAGCATTCCCTTCAAGGGCACACCCCCAAGGATGTAACCTCCATCCACTAGCCCTGCTTCATCAAGAGTGTAGTGGGCCGGGTACCAAGACATTAGCATGTAGGCTTTCATGGGATAGTTCACACCCAAATGGCAGAGGACACTGCAAGACAGCTATTGCCTTACATAACTTCCTTCTTCCCTTTCTCCCTTTTCTGTGGTGTTGAATATTAAGCTCAGGGCCTCAAGTGCATTATGCAAGCACTTAACCGCAAATTATTCCAACCCTCATTTTAAAATTTTTATTTCATGTGTGTGGGTGTTTTGCCTGCATGTATGCCTGCACACCACTTGCGTGCCTGCCTGGTGCCCATGAAGGGTAACAAAAGGCATTGGATCTCCTGGAACTGGAGTTACAGATGCCTTGAGCCACCATGTGAATGCTGGAAACCAAACCAGGTTTTCTGGAAGAACAGCAAACTCTCTTAACCACTGAACCCTCTCTCCAGCCCCAATCCTGGCCAACCCCTATTTTTGTTGTTACTGTTTTTCGAGACAGGGTTTCTCTGTGTAACAACCCTAGCTCTACTGGAATTTGCTCTGCAGACCAGGCTGGCCTCCAACTCACAGAGGTCCGCCTGCCTCTCCTTCCCAAGTGCTGTGATCAAAGGTGTGTGTCACCAGGCCTGACTCTGCCCTTACATTTTACGACAGGGTTCCATTGTTAGGATGACTTCAGACTCATAGTCCGTCTATGTCTCCCAGATTATACATATATATATTATAGGCATGTGCCACAATTGCTAGCATGCGTAATATATTTCTTATCACATCATCTTGCAATTACTTGTTGGTAACTTTCTTCCCTGTGAGAACTTGAACTGCTTGAGGGAAAAGGTCTTTGCACATTTTTGTGTTCCTTAACTGTATAGCACCTGTCTTAGTTTGCTTCCTATTGCTGTGATAAAACATGACTAAACACAGCTAGAGGAGGAGAGGGTTTATTTCATCTCACAGTTAGTTATACTCCACCATGAAGGAAGTCAGGGCAGGAATTCAAATCAGGAACCTGAAGGGGGGAACTGAAGCAGATACCAGGGAAGACATGCTGCTCGCTGACTTACTCTGCTTGCTTCAATATACACCCCAGGACCCAACACAATTCCAGAGATGACCCCTGTGGCCTGGACCCACCCACTTCAATTGTTAGTTAAGAAAATGTTCTAGAGATTTGCCTACAGGCAAAATCTGATGGCAGTTCCTCTCCCAGATAACTCTAGCTCGTATCAAGTTGACAAAAATCAAAACAAAAAAACCCAAATAAACAAAAATCAGAGCAAAAGCAAGCAAGCAAAGAAACAAAAAAACCCAACCAGGACTGTACCTTCTTCCTTTCATTATTAGCTTACTTCTTTCCTCCAGATTTAACGTTTTCAGTTTTTAGTAGTAGACTGACTTCCAAAGAACTCTGTTTTCTTCTTTCTTCAACATTTGTTCTCACTGTGTAGCCCAGGCTGGCCTCAAACTTTCCATTTTCTTGCTTCAGCCCCTTTAGTGACAGGCATGCATTCCTTCTACTCTGTAGGTTTGGCAACCTACGACAACTTAGAGAAAGGGGTTAAGGTTATTATTCTAAATCTCACAATTCTACTCTTCTTACAGAAAAATACTGTCAGTATTTTGGTCTATTTCCCCACCTCCTTTGCAGTTTTTACAGTGTTGAGATCGCACTGTTTAAATTATTTCAAACTTTGTCCCCTTTCAAAGTTATATGAACAATTTCTCATCCCACTGAAGTCATTTATAAACAGTTAATTGCTCTACCACATTTTATTCTGTGAACACTCCCCTAAGGCTTGAACAAATTATTTCTAATTTTTTTTAAAAAAAAATAATTACAAGGAATGCTGATGTGAGATTCACATGCCTCTGTTTCTATATTTAAGGTTATATCCCTGGGGGTGCTGGAGAGATGGCTCAGTGCTTAAGAGAACTGACTGCTCTTCCAGAAGATGTGGGTTCAATTCTCACCACCCACATGTCAGCTCACAACTGTCTGTAACTCCAGTTCCAGGGGATCCGACTCCCTCATACAGACATGAATGCAGGCCAAACACCAGTGCATAGAACATAAAATTAGATAAATTATGTAAAATTTATATCCCTGAAGTGCCTTCCTGGAAGTAAGTTATTACATTAAAGAGTATAAATGATTTTAAGACTCGATACCACATTTTACTAGCCTATTTGGGGTCTTAAGGTCACCAGGCTTTCTCTTAAAGAATATCATACATAACTTAATCTTGGGAGACCCCAAAGTTCTCTAACACTTTTTTGAAAGCAAACACACGTCAAAACCTCTCTGGTGGTTTGAAAGAAAATGCCCCCCCCCCCCGAAAGGAGTGGCATTATTAGGAGGTGTGGCTTACTTGGAATAGATAGGTCCTTGTTGGAGGAAGTACGTCACTGTGGGGGCGGGCTTTGAGGCTCCCTATGTTCATTGTACCACCCAATGGGTCAGTTGATTTCCTGTTGCCTGCAAGATGTAGCACTGTAAGTTCCAACACCACATCTGCCTGCACGCTGCCATGCTCCGCCACCCAGTGATGATGATGGACTGAACCTGTGAAACTGTAAGTGAGCCCCTCAAAGGTTTACCTTAGAGTTGCCATGGTCATGGTGTCTCTTCATAGCAATAAAACCCTAACAAAGACAACTTCTTCCCACAAACCCACAGAACCTGTCTATCCACCGCCTCAATGTCCGCCTGTGTCCGTGCTTCTGAGAAGTACCCGCGATGCTTACTTCAACATCCCAGTGAAACATGGATACTGAGATTGCAGCTGCAGCAGAGGAAACGATCTTCATCAGAAGAAAGGGGAAAGAAACGGATGTGAAAAATATCCTAAACTGTTTGCCGGAGCCCCTTTCCAATTAATATTAAATTACAAACGCTATTATTCATTTTTTAATAATGATACTTAACAAATCCTAATGATTTGCTTAATAATAAATGTTTATTTAATTAAAGAAAAAAATCAATAACTCACCATTCAATTAAATGATTTATGTGATGATAAATATTAATGAATATAAAAAATAATAACAAAGATAATTTATGATCATTAAACTTATTATTAAATTACAAACACTCCTAAAATACAAAGGGCCAGCTACAACAGGGGCAAGCTATGAGACTTTGTGTGAAACCACAGAATCGCTGCACACCTCTTTCCCAACACAAGGATTTTCCTACAAGCCTGCAGGGGTCATTGCCTCCTAGAAGAAGAGCTTTGGGGTCACCTGTCAGCTTCCTCTTTGCTTTTGAAAGCCCATCCGAGGAATCTGTCATTCTTGGGGGAATTTCCTCTTTCCAAAAATATTGAATACTTCCAGGCCTGACTAAGTGAACAACTACTCTGATTTGGTTCTATTGGAAGCAGGATCTCCCACCAAGAGGCGATTAAGGCATGAGAAGTCTGTTTTTGGGAATTGATTGAGTCCCAAATTCATTGGGATTGATTGATTCCATAATTCATTGAACCCCCCTGCCCTAAAAATGGAACCTCTAAAGGGGTTACTATATTTTTCCATTTGGTGGCCTTTAACCAAAGATGAGACCAACAGTAAGAGTTGATCTGGTGGCCAGAGAACAGCCTAACGGAGTCTGGCTTGCAAATCACCTTCTCGGCCAATTAGGAGTGGGGAACTCAGGCATGGAGCAGAAGAAATGGGCTGGGAACGAAAGGCCAGTGAAAGGGGAGAATGCTCTTAAATTTTCCTGGAATACGTGTGAAGTCCCTGGAAGTCAAGCAACACCTCTTTTTGCTGCCTTTACAGTTTGATGCTTCTGTCACGGGCACTGGTAGATGGACCCTTAGGATGGAAACTGGATTGTCGTGAGGTGTGAGGTCTCTGATGCTTTCTTAGATCCAGTTGATTTTCGCTGGTGCATCGTCAAAGGAACCTTTGACCTGAGGCATCTGTCTTCAGAAGTGGAGGTTACAATAGTGAGGTTGAAATTCAGTGGTCGCACAGGCAATGGCCTCATCAAGAGAGCGAGCTTGCTGTGCCAAGGAGTTTGGCCTCTTCCCTTACTCCCCGCTTGTGCACGCTGATGCATTTGCCATGTTCTGACCCAGTAAAAAGCTCCTTTCCCAGGGGTGCTCTCTTCATCTTGGATTTCCCAGCCTCCCGAGCCCGAGGCCACATAAATTTCTGATCATTATAAATTAGTAATCTGTGAGAGCAGTACACACCAACACTAGGGCAGCCATGTTTAGCACACCAGGTTGTAATGTGGCTGATGTAACACAACCTCAGCCCATGCTGCCGCAGAAGCCCTCGGGCAACTTCTGAATAATCTATAGTGGGTTAGAGCTTCCCAAAATTTGGGGTAAGGTTTGTTTCTATACAACCTTCACAGCCCAGAATCTGAACTGAGCACCATGTTAAGAAAACAGAGGGGAGGGGACGTATTAGTTTAAAACCTGATCCATTTAGCAACAAGAGTAATAAGAAATGAATTCTCTTCTGTACATTTCCACAGCACAATCATTATAACATTTTCCCCCACATTTATGCTTGGAGTCTGTTTCTTTATTTTATTTCATTTTGAAATTTTTCACCTCTGGAATCCAAATGCCTCTGTTGAAGAGCACTAGCTAACACGTAGGGTCACTCCATGGCTCCCTGGCCAGCTCTGACTGGTCGGTTCCTTACTGAATGATGGTTAAAATGGCTAGCGATGTGTCAGGTGCTGTGGAGACTACAGAACACGTCCTAATACAACACACAACATTTTCAACCCTGGAGAGGTGAGTGTGCAGCTTGTGGTAGGACATTAAGGCTCACCTAGGTCTCTGAGTTCTTTGGCTCCTGTGTACCATCCCCCATGTTCCCTTTGGGCTGACAGCCACTCCCATCTCTTTTCTGCATGGCTAAGCTCTGGCATGCTAAGACAGGTCCTCCCCTGTTCCGCAAATCTTCCGGCCACACGTAGCCTCTATAACACACAGCCCTTCTCAGTCTCACTCCAGAGGGTCTGTGTTTGCGTGTCTTATCTCCCGTCAGAGGCGAAGTGCCTGGACAAGGGGGTGTGCAGAGTCCTTTGAACTCTTTTGTAGAACTTAGCAGATTGCTGGGTACACAACGGACAATCAATCATTCATTTGTTGCTGCAGACATGATTCATTTTCCCACATGATGAAACCGGGTGCCGCTGGTCTGGCTACTCGATGGGTGGTCTGGCCCACCAGAGGCAAGGCCACCTTGGAAAGAGCTTTGTGAAAATGCAGCCCTGCAGGCCGAGCCCTGGCCCCACGGAATCAGTCTGCACTTCCACACTTCTGCAGCCTCATGCATGATTCATGGCTTTAGGGTCGGGAGAGTGCTGTGCGTTCAGTGACATTCGTGGGCCAGCTAGTTCTTCATTCTTCTCCCTCCGCCCACTGTTCTTGCTTCCCCTGTACCTGCCTCGTCCTGCTTTCCCCAGCCTTCCTAGTGCATTGCTTTAACTATTTTCTGTCCGATCTCCTCAATCCTCTAGCGCTTCTGACCTCCGTTCCTGCCTCCGCGGTGTCAACAGTTCCCTCTTTGCTGCTATTCTCCTAGTCCCTGATGCTGTGCTTGCTGCAGACACACATCAGTGCCTCCCGTTCGGAGGGATTCCATGCATGTCTTGCTCATCACACTGCCATGGGACGGATATTCAGGAAGCAGTTGGAACTCAGCTGTCTGTCGGATGCGCTATAGTGCTGTTCGCCCTTTCTGTTGGTCAAGTCACACCACACGGAAGGAAGGAATTTATTAGCCAACAGCAGACAGGGAGTGGCAGTTTTTACAGGTCCTACCAGCTTGACAAAGGGCTGAGAGCTGCAGTGGTCCTCGCTACTTAAGCCTTTGATGCCAAGGAGGGTGTGTGCCTCACTCCAGAAACTCAAACACAGAAAACCACCCTTGGAAAATGAACGCCAGGGTTTGCATTACCCATAATTCCTCCACTTAGAAAGACTTCAAGGGGGTCTTTAAGCTGGGAATCTTGAAGGGGACTTTACAATGGCTTTACTTCACATCCTGATAAGCACACCTGTATTTTGAAACTTAGGGATAACTTATCTTCAGTGTGAGTTACCGCATTTTGTGGAGAAACCCTGAAAACAGCAGGTTTGAGAAAGAGATCTATTTCTGATCTTTTTTTCCCTCTTGCAGCAGGAACTGAACAGTTAACCGCTCCTGCTGGCTTTGGGGCTCACATTTTCTACAAGTTGATTTACAGCGATAATTTTCTTTGGCTATGTTAAAAAGCAATTTCTCATAAAGGAGAGGAGATCTGTTGGACAGTGCCTTCCTGGGTGTCAAAGGTCATCAATAATTAGGCCATTTGCTTTCTGTTCATTTTTCTAAATTCTCTGATTGCTGGCACAATAACTTTCCTTCTCCAATCAATTAATCTAACCGTTCACACCCATATTTTATTTTTAATGGTTGACTACTCATTTCATTAAAAATGTAAGCGCATTAGCGCCATGTAAAATGATACCAGTGGGATGGTGGTATTTAAATATTCATAACATAAAAATTAATAAATCTGAGTGCAGCGTCTGCATTTTAAAAAGTCAGGCTGCTGTCAGATGTAGTTGGTCTCAGAAGAGATTCACTAAATTAAAAAACTCCAAGCATCGCCCTCACATTAATTCTCCTTTAGAGCAAAACAATTCAACAGGAATGCTTTGAGAGCAGAGTCTCTACCCGGCAACTCACTGCTTCGCTTTGGCTCCATCAGCTAGCGCTTGCTTCCCATCCCCGCTGTCTTCCATGCTACCCCATCGACTGGACTCTCGCCATTAATCAGTCTGTCTAACATTAAAGGAGCTCAACGTTGGCCTTGTAGGGAATGCACTTCCATCTTGTTCACTCTCCCTCAAGCCTCCTTCCTTGCCCTCCTCCTGCCCAAAGAAATCTCGGATCCCTTGGGTGATCTCTTCCCAGTGGGCTTCTCCTAATGGGAGCAGGAGCCACGCCCTTCATAGGGCATAAGAGCTTGTTGACGTGTGTGTTCATGAGCATATAAAACTCAAGAGTCAGCAAGTGTGGCCAATGTGCAGGTTAGCGTCAACGAAAGCAGGGTATCTCTGTGTGTAAGTCACTCAAGGCTTGAGAATGCCAGCCAGAAGCAGGGACAGGGCTGGGGGGGATGGCTCGGTTTGCACTCAGATCGCTGCTCTAGCACAAGGGCCCGACTGTGGATCTCCAGATCCAATAGAGAGCTGGATGTTTGTATATGCGTGCAATCCTGCAGTTCTACAGTGAAACAGGCTGGAGAGACAGGAGAATCCCAGGAAGCTCCCTGGCCCATTAGTCTGGTGCATGCAGTGATGAACAAGAGACTGTCTCAAACAAGGTGGAAGGTGGAGATTGACACACAAGACTGTACTGTGACTTTGACCTCTACGTGTGTGTGCATGCATGCGCACACGTGCACACACGTGCACACACATGAAGGGGAAGGGAGGTAGGAAAGGAGGGAAGACAGAG